GGGCCCAGGATGAAGGAATCCCCGTTGGGGTGACTTGGTTTTGCCTGATGAGAGGGAACCCTGTCAGAGCACACCATGGTAAAGCATGTGCTTAGGTTTGCTCAGATCCAGAATACCAGTCTCACGAGGTCACCCAATGGCCTCATCACAGGGATGGGCCATCTTGTTTTAGGGTTTTCCTCCTTTCCTCAGTCAGGGAAACTTCCATGTAACCCTTTGTGCTTCAGTTTAAAGTGGAAAATCTGCCCTACGAAACGGTTCATCTAGGCAAGTCCTGTATCTGAACTATTGGCCAAACCAAAGCTCCAGTGCATGACAGAGCCAGTGCCTGCAGTGCACAAGTGGACTAACACGAGAGTGCTCACCTCCGTGGGCTCTGTCTGCTCTGAGAATTTGGCCTGGCAGTGCCCACTGTCTTTTTAACTCCTGGAGGCTTCACGTGGCTTTTGATTGAGTCTCTCAGTTCTTGTTTTTTCAGTGAGATAATTTATCTGAATATCCAAAACCAGAAAGCCACACAATTATTACTTTTTTCATCCAGATGTTTTTTCAAAACTCAGATTTTCAAATACTGATTTATTTGAGCAGATGAATCTTCTCCAATTTTTAATAAGCCTAATAATCACTTATTTCTAAGGGATACAAAAAATCTATAAAATTAATGATGCATTTCTGAAGTTCAGTAATTCTGGGTTTACTTGAGTTGCACTTTTTGTTGCTATATGAAGGACTCGAAGACATACCAATAGTTTGGCCCACTTAGTGTGCTTATGTTGCATGGAAGTTAGAAGATGTAAGGTAAATATTTATTTACATAAAATGAAACCAGAATACCAGGAAACTGATACAATGTGGTGAACGTGTTATTGGATTGCAGCTTCATGGCCGCTTCTTTTAAACAACGTGTGTGGTCGTGGAATGTTTGTTTCACCAAGGTATCATTCCTGAGAGCCACTGCGTGTAAGTTATATAACACTTTATGTAACTACATTATGTCCAACACAAAGCCGTTGACTTTCTGAGTCCAGGACAGATGGGTCTCCCAAAGCACCAATTCTTGATGATGATGATGAGGATTCCCAGGACTCAGCACATGATTGCCCTTATGACTTACTGCAGTCAAAGCATCCCAGCCATGGTCAGCAGGGGGAAGGGTTCATGGGCTGGAGGCCACTTAGTCCCTAGCCTTCAAGTCAGGACAGCATTCTGAGATGTTGCTAAGAGCAACTCACTGGAGACCCAGGATTCATATTATGTGCTACTCTGAAGGAGTTGTATGTTAAGAATGTACCAGCATCCCAGCCTCCCAGAGAAAAGCAAGTTTTTCTACACAGACCCAGTTTGCACATTTAGTAAAAGGCACAGTAGCTAAGAGTAAGTGGTGGGAAACCTCCCTAAAAATCAAATTCAAGATGTTGTTCAAAGCCAGTCTTGTGAGCAGCGTGGCAGTCAGGCCCAATTGACAGCTCATGTACACATGAATGAGAGTTAAAGTTTTTTTCTAGTTCAAAGTAGATTTTCTTTTCATACAACATATTCTGAATTTGGTTCCTTTTCCCTAACTTCTCCCAGGTCTTTCTCACTTCCCCACCCACTGAAATCCTCTCTCTCTCTCTCTCTCTCTCTCTCTCTCTC